ACCTTCTCAGCGAGGCCTGCCGTGGTAGCACCGACTCAGCTGTGAATCTTTCTGCACACTTATCCCTCAGCTCTGCTTTCCTTCCTTATAGGTATGTTTCAGATTGACCATTTAACCACTTTGTCTTTTGTATTGTCTGTTGCATCATCATAATGGAAACTCCACGCCGTAAAGATAAATGGCACACTTAATGAGGGTATAGGTAACTTTATTGTGGCAATTACTTACAAGAGAAAACTGGCAACCAAGGCGACCAGCTTTGTCTCGAGGACCAGAAACTCGAAAATGAGCGTGCTTCTCTCCTGCACCACCTTTTAATACCACCTCCGTACGTGCCTCTAGCCACGCCCGAAGTGGGCGTGGTTAGCGGCTCAGTCCTAATATCTCTTCCTACACCAGGCAGACAATGTTTGGTTTGTCCTCAGTTCTCTCAGTGTGTAGTGACAGGATGGGTCGGACACAGCAGAAGTAGGGAGTTATAGCAGGGGAAACACAGCAAGCTTCGGGATCTTCTTCATGTCTACAGAGCCGGGGGAAGAAATGGTCTCTCCAAAAAGTGGTGTGTTTGCTTGGAAGAAATCTTCAGGGTGACTTGTGTGTGTGGAGGGCTCACCTTGTATGCCTGTCCCCCAGGTAGGTCCCATCATGATAGTTTTTTGGTGAATGAACAAATATGAGCCAAGGCCTGTGACTGTGAAGTTGAACCAGTTTCTCTGCATACAAGGTTGTCTGCTATAGGCATCTGTGAAAGTCTAAAGCAAGCTGAGATCTTGGTAAGTACTCTGCAGGTTAGCTGTTACTTTAAAATGTCCTTTTAGGTTTAATGTGACTCCTGGCAGGAGGACACCTACTATGTGACTCAGGTGAAGCCCTCAAGTCAACCTCACAGATTTGGTTAGTGCATCCTGCCCTGCTCTGGAGCTGGGTAGAGATTGTTGGACAAATTGCATGACATATGCCTTTGTTCACAATGTACATGCTTCTAAGCCTTTGGAGAATGGGCATCCATGCGGAATAGTCTTCATTCAAAATGATGCCTGGGTTAGGAATCTCAGATATTCTATGTTTGGTGTCAGGAGTGGGGTTGAGATGGACTTGGGTTCCTGACACAAGCCAGGGACTGATGCTGGGAGCAGGTGTTCATGAGGGAGGGACTGAAGCCTTCTGCCTTCTGCTCCCAAGTGTAGCCAAGACTACATCTTATCCTGGGTGACATCATGAACAACTTGCAGGCTGTTGGCTCTTAGCCAGGGTTCTGGGGATTTTCCTGCTCAGGGTGTCTTATCAAGCTTTGGGCCATATCTTCAATGAGCTTAGAGGAAGGTCTAAATGTCCTAGGACTTTACTCTGTCTGTCTCTCAGCACCTCTGTAAGAGCTACCCAGGTCAGGAAAACATGGGGCCTGGGTTTTGAAGGCTCCAGAAAACCAAAGAGGGCTCAACAGGAGAAAGCTTTGATAATTTGGGGCCCTGTACCCAAACAATAACTTTGAGAGGGTTTTGAATAAGAAGGGCCCCCATAGGATCATAGATTTGAATGCTTGGTCACCAGGGAGTGGCACTACTAGGAGGGGTGATCCTGTTGGAGGAAGTGTGTCACTGGAATTGGCCCAATCTCTCTCTCTCTCTCTCTCTCTCTCTCTCTCTCTCTCTCTCTCTCTCTCTCTCTCTCTCTCTCTCTCTCTCTCTCTCTCTCTCTCGTCTCCTCTCTCCTCTCCTCCTCTGCTGCCTACAGATCTGAAAGGAGAACCCTCAGCTCCTGCAGCACCATGTCTGCTTGTGTGCCACCACAAGCCCCAATTAAATGTTTTCTTTCCTAAGAGTTGCCATGGTCATGGTGTCTCTTCACAGCAGTAGAACACTGGCTCAGGAACCTTAGGAACTACTAGCCTTGTGAGGGCCAGAATGCGGATGCCTCTCAGTGCTTTGGATTCAGAAAAGCTATGCCTAGAGTGAGCCCCAGATGCCTGGCAGGTCTTCATTCGTTTTCTTCATGGGATGAAGGGCAAGAGCCCATGCAGCTTTTGGGCAGTGTCTTCTCTCAGCGTGAGACCTGAGCTGGGCAGAGGAGAAGGTCACCTCCACCCATTTGACATTCTGCTGATGACGCCTCCTGTGTGGTTTTTTTTTTTTTTTTTTTTTGGTGTCAGCTGGTGTTTGTCACTTGTCTAGCCACCAACTGCCTGGAGGGAGATGGAAAAGCTAGATGTGGTAATTATGGGGTGCCTAGCCTTAGAATTCAGAGGAGACAAGCTGAGCAGCCCTGGTAGATGTCAAGCTCTAGAAAGGGACCCTCTGCAATCCTTATGAGTCCCACTGGACAGCTGATGGGCAACCAACCGGCTTGCTCCGTCAACGGTGCCATGTGACTGCCTTCCCCTTGTTGGGCTCAGGGTTCTGTGTGAAATACATGATAGCAATCTCTGGACTTTCTCATTGTGGAAAGAGCCTTATGAAGCCTAAAGAGTTCCATGCTGGGGTTTTGTAGAAAGTTTTGTAGAGTCAGAGAATCCGCTCAGATAATTCATGGGTGAGGTAACATAAGAACTGGGTCTTGAAGACTCCAGAATTCAAGGTAGAGACTTTCCAGTGGTCAGATTAACTATGGGGCCCCTTGTTCTTGCCTCTTTCCAGGGAGGGCCCTGGACAAGTGAAGCACTGTGAGCATTCGCTCTTCAGCCGTGCCTCAGGGATCATGGTATCTACCTTTAATCCACATTAGTGGAGTAGACTTGCCATGTGCCAGTGAATGAAGCCCTTGTCAGTCCTTAATGGTTATTTTCATTGGCTTCGTTTATTGTTTGTCGTAGTTTGTGGCATGGCTGCATCCTTTATAATAGTGCCACAGAGTCAGAAAACCTTGTTCCCTCCCTCCCTCTTCTTCCATTTGTTTACCATTTATCAAGTATTCACTGTGTGCTCCTCATGGGTGCTAACTCTGCAGCAAGAGGCAATGGAGCTCTTTTCTAACTCTTGCAGCACTCTGATGGGGACCTGCTCTGCTCTGTCCACTCCTGAAGTCTGCCTTTTTCTTAGTACTCATATGTCCCATCTGGAAAGTGATAGTGACAATGGTACAAATCTTACATGGTACTTAGGCATTGCATGAGCTAGTACTTGCAAAGAACATGGTGATGGGTATTTAGAAAATCATCAATAAGCATTAGCATTGATAAATAGTTGGAGTGATGGAGAAGCAATCGAGTGGGCACGTAGCTCATTAAGCCCTCAAAGAGGCTAGAAACAAGCACTCTGGGAATAGGGAGAAATGGACTTCATCTGCAAGACACAAAGGAGAGACAGTTTTCTGTGTCCAAAGTTGGGCTTATCAATCCTTCTAGAGTCCCCTTGACCCCCAAATCCTTTTACTGTACAGAAGTATCTAACACCACCTACAAGTGCTTTCTTTTAAGAGAGAGTATGGTGCCAGTGAGCCTAGAGTTGTCTCTGGTGGCCAGTCTGGGTGGAGAGGCAGCAGCTGCAAGGGTCACCTGTGTGTGGCAGTTGTGACTTACATTCCATCTCTTGTCTGTGTTTGAGCTACAGATCCCAAGCTCCTCAGCTCATCAATGTCTTCCTTAGTATACTGGATTTCCTTTGACCATTTTATGTCTGACCCCGAAGTGTACACACACATACACACACACACACACACACACACTCTCTCTCTCTCTCTCTCTCTCTCTCTCTCTCTCTCTCTCTCTCTCTCTCTCTCTCTCTCTCTCTCTCTCTCACTCACTCACAAAGACCTGTCTGTGCTTAGTACTTTTCCATAAAGGGTCTGGCTGGGTTTGTGAAAACTACAACATTATTGCACAGGCCTGATGTTTTAGCAGGACTTACCTCCATAGTTTCACCTGTAAATGTCACTGGTTCCTTTCTATAAATGTCCCCTAGTCTCTAGTGAGGTGGGATAGATTTTGCATTTGCTTTCTTGGCTTCCTTTGCGGATTCACCTTCCTCTTTGGGATCAGTGTCACCTTTTTCCTGACCCATTTATGGTCCCCTTTCTTCCCATGGCCCTGAGTTCTTGCATCCTGGAATGAGGTGAAGGTAGGTAGGATCAGGCAGAGACGGCGTAAGTATCTTTTAAAGGACATGGCCCTGATCCCTTCCTTATCCCATCAGTGTCTCTGTCATGGTGACGATCAGGGCTGGAGGGTAGAAAATGAGGCTCCAAGCAGGAGTGTAGTGTTCCTGCAGGCATGTGTGCGCAATGTGGGGGTGTTCTCTGTGCCTCAGTTTGGGGAAGTGGTGTTTTGGGTGTGGAAGAATGACTTGGAGCCGTGGTGACCAGCCTGGGCCTGGGGGCGGGGGTACAGAAGGTGTTGGAGAGGACCCACCAGATGCTGCAGACTCAGACTACGGTGACTTCACCCTCCTGACTCACCCTTGTCCCAGTCTCCTGGAAACAGAAAGTGACAAATAAGTGATTGTCGTGAGCTCCAGAACACCCACGGCCAGTAAATCATAGAGATGAAAATCTAGTGTCGCAATGGCCATCTCTGCCTCTGTGGCAGCCAGGACTGTTCAGGAACCTTGGACAGAGCCACTGAGTTAGGAAGGCCACACTGCTGCATTTCCACACATTTGTCTTTCTCTCTGCTTAACTTTTCCTATACCTGCCTCTCCTCTCCCTGCCTTTAAAACCTTTTACTGAACATGACAGAAAAGAGCCACACTCCGGGGAGGAATTTCAGGTACCTCGCAGTCTTCTTTAAGGTTGCAAGCTCACCCTTTCTCCATGCACTGGTCCACCTACCCATCTGGCCATCCATCTACCCACCCATCCAGCTAGCTAAATGTCTACTCATCTGCCCATCCTCCCCCACTCTATCCCTCCATTTTATGCCTTCATCTATTCCAGTCTCAAATCTCCCCACTCCCAAGACGTTCTTCTCAGCCCGTCTAAGGTCGGTGCCCATGACTCAGACTTCAGTTTTCATCTGGCCAGACTGACCTGGGTAATGAGGTATTGATGTACACTAGGAACGGTTCCATTCTTTCAACTCATTTTACCATCTCCAGGCAGACAGTAGCCCTTTCTAGAAAGTAGGTGCCCACACTCTTGTGACTGTTTTCTTTAGTGACGGACAACCCGCTTCTTCTCTGCATGTGACAGCCCACACTGAAGTGTCTGGGAGAGGCCCCTGGAAATATGAGCACAGAGTGAGGAGGAGGAGGGGTCTGTGGAGGTTCTCACCTGAATGTGGGCACCGTCTTGGGTGTGAGGTGGGTACTAAACAGAACCAGGCCAGGAGGGAAAGAGCCCCAGGCTTCAGACTGCCAACAGTAACTTGGCTATGAGAGCTCACTGTCACCACTGGACCCTATTGCCTGTCCCCAGAGGGTACCGACTTTGGAGTCCAAGCCTTGGTCTCAAGACAGAACTTCCTGGCTGTGTGTGTCCTCAGGCAAGCTCTAAGCATTAGCCACATCATCTGTAAGCATGGGTGCCAACAATCTTACCGAGGTCAGAGTGTCATGCTGCCTCCACCTCACATGCAACTTCAGGGACGGCAAGAGAGAACTGTACACTTGTGCCATTAGTAACAATAGCCATAGCCTCGGCAAATGGAAATGAAGAGAGCCGGGCGTCGGTGGCGCACACCTTTAATCCCAGCACTCGGGAGGCAGAGGCAGGCAGATCTCTGTGAGTTCGAGGCCAGCCTGGTCTACAGAGCGAGCTCCAGGACAGCCTTCAAAACAATACAGAGAAACCCTGTCTCAAAAAACCAATAAATAAATAAATAAATAAATAAAATGAAGAGAAATGTGTTGTTTATTAGGAATTCAGGTTTGACTGGGTGTCTTGCATTTTGCCTCTTGGTCCTCAGTCAGTACCCTAGAAGCAGGGCCTGAGGCTGCCTCCTTCATCTTGGTCCTGACTAGGGGAGTTGCAGAGGCGGGTGAGGGAGACAGATGTCCATGCAGTGCAGACCATGGACCAGCAGCCCACATGCTGGAAGCTAAGCAGGGAGGAGCTGTCCAGGAGTGGGCTGTGTATGCCTGCGTGTTCATGTGTACCCAGCCTTGGCACAGAAGCCTGCGCGTGTGCAAGCTAAGGGCCCTGTGAATCAGCACTTGCCAACTGTAGCTTCTGCCAGCCGGCTGTGGGCAGCTAGCAGCAGCATGTGATATGCTCCACGTCACCGTTCTCTGTGGCAGGAGCACAGAAGCAGGGATTCTATTTGGTTCTTGGAAGAAAATGCCAGTGCACCCCAGAGCTTGCCCATGTCAGTGTGTGCTTTGTTCCGAGTTTTTCTCTGCTTCCTCCTCTTCTCTCCTCTCTTCCTCCTTTCCTGTTTCATTCTCTCCTTTCCTCTTTCAAAGCCCCTCTGTGACTGCCTTTCCTAGGTATCTAATGTATGTGGGATGCCGACACATCCTTGGTTACCTGATGGTATACAGTTCGGGCTCTTACCCACCCCACAGAGCTACGGTGAGGGTGAGGTAGCCAGCCCTCAGCAGCATGGCCTTGCGTCTCCAGGGACAGGAACCACCAGGGTAGGCTGTGTGAGCTGTGCAACCTGGCCTTGGCCCCTTGTGATCAGCATCTATGCAGTGGGCTAGGCATGTTTCACTTAGAAATGCCAGCATTTGAGGACATTAAATGGCTTCTTGGGGCTAGAGAGATGGCTAAGCAATTAAGAGCACTGGCTGCTGTTACAGAGGACTAAGGTTCAATTCCCAGCACACATACGGAAGCTCACAATCATCTGTAACTCCAGTTCCAGGCGATCTGATACCGTCTATGGCTTCTGTGGACACCAGGAGTGTGCACAGCACACAGGCAACTATATACATAAAAAAAATGACCCCTCATCCAGTTACGTTTCCTTGTTTTTCCTACCTGGGCACATGAGCTCTGGCTCCCTGGGTTTCTTTGGTTAGTAAGAGTGCCTTCACAGTCCAACTCTTTCACTTTCCACTTAGCCACTCCTCCTACCTGAACCTCCGGTAGGGAAACTGGCACATTCCCCAGATAGCGGTGTGGCTCCCCAATATTCAGGCTCATTTCTCCTGCAGAGAAGGCATGTTTTGAGAACTCAGTTTCTGGCAGCTACAGTTTGCCCTGCACCACTCAGGAAAGCTGGGTCAGAGGTCCCTGTAAGTGGTGAATGTCACTTTTGAAAAGGCCCCGGGTCAGAGGTCCCTGTAAGTGGTGAATGTCACTTTTGAAAAGGCCCCGGGTCAGAGGTCCCTGTAAGTGGTGAATGTCACTTTTGAAAAGGCCCCGGGTCAGAGGTCCCTGTAAGTGGTGAATGTCACTTTTGAAAAGGCCCCGGGACAGCTTTTCTTTAGAACCCACACTGTACAGATGCAGAAACACTGCTTATGAGAAGTGCTCTGTCCAGGGCATAGCTGGAGGCAGGGCTGGCATTACACACAAGACTCGGAGCTCTTACCTTCTCACCTGGGTGCCTCGTGCTCCATCATAGCCAGACCTTCTCTGGATATTAATTCAGAGAGATGGCTTTGGAGGGGTCAGGAGCCTCATAGCTGTGTACAAAGACAAGTCATCCCGATAGCATGCGTCTCCTCTTCCTTGTTCAGCGTCATGGGAATATTGAGTTCAGCCAGGAGAGGAGTGGTCAGTAGGTCCTTTCTCTCTAATCATGGCACAGATGGACACTATTGACCCTTGACTGCATCTCGAGCACCAGGTAAGGCTATGCTGATGGGTCCCTTATGTTATCCACACTTAGTAACTCTTTTATAGAAAAGAACACTGCATGTATTCTTCAGATACAAAATTTTACGTCTACTTATTTATCCTTTCTTTCTTTTTTTGTTGTTTTTTAGAGACAGGGTTTCTCTGTATTGTTTTGGAGGCTGTCCTGAAGCTCACTCTGTCGACCAGGCTGCCCTCAAACTCACAGAGATCCTCCTGCCTCTGCCTCCCGAGTTCTGGGATTAAAGACGTGCGCCACCAACGCCCCGCCTTCTTCCTTATTTCCTTCTTTCTTTCCTTCCTTCCTTCCTTCCTTCCTTCCTTCCTTCCTTCCTTCCTCCCTCCCTCCCTCCCTCTATCTCTCCCTCCCTCTCTATCTCTCTCTCTCTTTCTCTCTTTCTTTATTGTGTGTGTGTGTGTGTGTGTGTGTGTGTGTGTATACACACAGACCATGGTACACCTGAGAAGATCAGAGAACAGCTTGTGGGAGTGGGTTCCACTCTGTTTGTCCCAGGGATCAAACTCTGTGGAACTCATTTTAAGGCATGTTGGCCAGCATATTTACATTCTGCTGAACTATCTAGCCCATGCTCTGACGTAGATTTGAAAAGTCCAGGTTTGTAATCTCACCTGTTATGATCATTGAGTCTCTTAGGACAGTGTTCGGGTAGAAGGTTTGGGTTATACTGCAGTCAGCTTGACTTGCAGAACCATTGCTCTCCTGACTTGTAGTGATGGATATAGAAGGAAGGATTCTACATAGTAACAAGGCCAGAGATCCCTAACACCCTGTGGTGTCATGGCAACCAAATGGAGGAATTCTATTCACATGGAGACAGGTGGTCCTATCAGACTCAAGCTGGCCTACCGCATTAGCAATTGGGTTGTGAACCCATGATGGGGGTGCTGATGGAAGGAGAATGAAAAGGCCAGTGTAGGATGCTGTTTGTGGGGAGTGTTTGGCAATTTTTAAAGATGAAAAGAAACAGAAAGAGACTGATCTTCCTGATAAACTCCAATGAAGGAGATATAAAAATTCAGCCAGGCCTCACCTTCCTGTTTCAGCACCAATGGCTGAAACTCCTGGGTGTCCTATCCTTGGTCTGCTCTGGAGCGTCTGGCCTTGGCCTTGAGGACAGCACAGGCCTGATGTGGCCCTTTGTTTCCATCTCTTGTGCTGACTGAGGACAGAGAGCAGGTACTAATCTGGACCTCTCCACCTTCTCGTGATGTAGCTTTCAATCATTCTGATGCACGCTAATTGACTGTGGTGTGTATTTGCTTTCTGCATTAGAGTTTACCCCTTCCCTAAAGAAGTGTTTTTCCCCTCTTGTAGTATAGACACCGTCAAGATGTTCGTAAGTCCAGTTGAGGATACAGCCCCCCCAACACCCGAGACTTTGAAAACGTTAGGATATAGAATTATTCCTATGAATCCAGGAAAGGAATTGGTCCTCCCTAATCAGTCGAGGAAGGGCATACTGGATGAAGAGGATGTGATACCAGAGGTAGGGTTGGGGTTGGGCAAAGGAACACAGTTGCAGAGGAAGGAGATGGAATGTCCTTCTCTCAGACATATGTCTGGACCACAGATGTCTTAGAGATTCAGGCAGTGGGAGACACAGAGTGTTTCTGGAGCTTTCAGCCAAGACAGATGAAGGACCTACAATGAGGTCTTGAAAGACTGACTATGGCTTCTGTTTCTTAGTCCTTCATATAGCTACATAGAATGGGCACATAGTAGGTGCTCCATGTTCATTGAACGAAAATAATTATCTCAAGTGACATTCATAGGATATACATTTCCAACATTAAATAAAAGGATTCATTAACTACTATGTGAAAATTAGAGGAATGTAGGGGCAAATGTCAAAGGTTAGGTGGATTCGTTAATAAAGTCGTGATTACGAAGGCTATATAGAAAAGCACGTCTCTTTTCCTTGAGCATGGCCATCATTGCAGCCCAGAGAAAGATACATAATGGTCTTGAAACAATAAGGATGCGGTTTCTGCCACTCCAAAGAACCCGAGTCAGCAGAATCAGCATTCTTGACAAGAAGTTCCCTGAATGAGGAGTGTGGTATAGATTGTTTGAGGCCCACACAGCAGCACTGTTCTCTCCAGGGCCATTGCTAATGCTCTGACATGACTTCTCCACACACACAGAAACCCCAGGGATTCAGATGCTTAAGAGGCTCGCCCATCAATTTAACAGTGCTCAGGTGAGCTCTGTTGTCCAGCAGATCCAGGAAGCTTCCCCAGCAGATTAGGAAACATCAGTGTAGTCCTTCCTCATTCTTAACTCCTGAAGGCAGAAGGCCATGCAGCTTTACTGAGCTTCAGACTGGGGATTGCCAAGTGAGGATACTGAGGAGTGCAAAGTGTGTGAACTTCATACGCTGGTAATGAGCAAGAGCTTAAGGCCTTCTCAGGGGCCACCACAGAGCCGATGGCATGCAAGAGAGGACAGATTTATTTGGGGGAGGTCTTTCCATTGTAAAGGATGTTTTCAAAAATAAGAAAGCAGAGCCATGTATAAGCTAAGCTGATTTGCAGAAAGTTCAGGAAAACTCTACCCACATCCTGTCAGGTTTTTGAGCAATATTAATGGGATTAGGTGTGCTAATCATAACAGCATCCCAGACAGTAACACCAAGACAACTGATGATCCGTAGGTCCCCACCTTGTATGTGCCCAATACTGAATGTTCATGTCGTGACCTTTCTCATTTCCACGACTCTATGGAAGCCTTTACACACTTAGCAAAAGGGCTTCAAGAACATGTCCAGGCTTTACAGGTTACAGGGTAACTGATGGATCCAAGATTTGATGCCCATTATTCCTTGATTGGGAACATCTTACACTGAGCAGTCTTTCCTTTTCCCTTCTCCTGTTTTATTCTCTTCCTCTGTGCTCCAGAATGTGCCTTCTCTCATCCAGCTTATGCTGTGATGCTTCTATTTTTGGTAGTTTATTATCGGACATGGAGAGTGGAAATGAAGTAGAATAGTTGGGGTTTGTTTTATAAAGCATGCATTTAGAATCAACCCCCTCATCAGTAAGAGATCAGTAAGAGTAGGGTTGCCTGCACCGGGCACCAGGTAGCTGGTAATTACAAAGCAATGGAACCTTGATTATCCATGTGTCTGTTAGGGAAGTTTCTCTTCAGTGTTTACTGCAGATATTTAATGTTGATAGATTCCCTTTAAGATTAGATTCCAGAGTGCTTTTCTCCTCCCCTTTTCCATGGGTAAGTGAAATTCAGGTGTTAAGAGTGAAATATGATGCCTGAATTTGACTCCTCAAGTGGATATACAGTTTAGGAAGTTGACATGGTACAGGGGATGTGGAGATCCTTGGAAATCCACGTTCTGTACCTCTGGGTTACCTTGGTTTAGTAATTCAGTTTCTCCCAGTGTCTATGTCCTTACTTTAGGATTTGGGTATTAGAATTTTGAATATAGGGGGAGCTGTGGTGCCTCACAAGATCTGCCCTTTAAGGTGCACTTCAGTTGTTTTCAGTTTTGGGGAGTTGGGCAAAGGAGTATGTTCTTACCCCATGAAAGCTTCCTAGCCCAGGTCATGTCTGCTCCCTGAGGGGAACCTATATCCCTTGGTAATTTCACTGCAAGCCTAGCCAAGAGCTGTTCAGGGATGAGTATAGGCCTCTCCGAGGATGCATGCATCAACTTACCCATTCCTGCAGCCTCCTCTCTACTCGGTGCTGGTCCTTAGAACTTTCCTCACTACTTAAGCCTCTACATGTAAAACCGTGACTCTGAGACCTGTGTTCCCAACCCAGGATAACTGTGATAATTTAATGCAATCTTTGCTTTCCATACCTGGTCTAGCACTTGTAAAATGGGATATTGTCCTCCATAAATGTGCCTTGTATTTTATTGGCTTTCACTTTTCATAGGAACTCCCAGAGAAGGCAGATTTTCTGAATGGATAGTACAATATTGAGTATGAAGTCATTGATCAGGGCTCAATACACAATGGAAATTCTTGAGAGATTTGAAGGCAGACCCCCTATTGATTCACACCAGACTCCTTTAATAGAAGACAGACAGGCGAGTGCAACTGAATTTAATCATAATGCTTTTCTTTTCTGTGCTTTGGGAGAGAATCGTCCCAAAGACGTGTTCACATATAGGAAGAGATTCAACAAATTTAGTTAAGTGAGGCATCAATGAGGAAATTAATAATGCAATAGGTGTGTGTGTATGTGTGTGTGTGTGTGTGTGTGTGTGTGTGTGTGTATCCCAATCAGATGTTTGCGGAGTGTTAAAGTGTTTAGTTAATGGTTACCAGTGAGAGTGGTTAGGATATTAGCCTGACAAGGGAAGAAGCTCTATTAAACATTTCAAAGAAAAAGATCTTTGAAGGTACTTGTAGTTGGAGTAACAAATGAATAGGCAGGAGTGTGCATTTCTAAACTATATGATGTAATCGTGAAAGGCCTCTTTACATCTCAGCTACCAGGCAGAGTCCTGTCATTCTGGGGCAATCATTGTCACAAGTTAGTTGGTAATTACCTTGGCTGTTCTCTATATACCAAATGTTATATGTGTATAGATTCATAATTACATGTGTCTGTCTCTGTGCGTGTGTACACATGTATGCATTCAATAAATGAATCCTTTCATGATTTCTCCTGTGTAGCTTGCATTTTCTCTCCCTTGTTCTCAAAGGACATTCCTTTAGACCTGGGTCTATAAAAAATTGTTATACTTCTTTCTTTGTACTGCTTGTGTGAACTAGTCCACTGGACAGCTGCACTGAGTTTGTTTACAGTGACCTGCATTGCATTGCTCACAATAGCTGAGGTACCAAAGCAGCGCAAGTTCCCACTGATGGATGAATGGATATGATGAATGGATATGATGGAATTGTGGTACATCCACAGAATGGAATATTTTTCAGGTACAAAATAAAAGAAATCCCTCACATGCGGCAAAATTAATGAAACTCGGGCATCTTCTGCTAAATGAGATATGCCAAACAGAGTAATAAATACTCTATGAATCTTAAAGTGTTGACCCCATAGTAGCAGAGAGCAGCATGGCAGCTGTCAGGGCAGAGGTGGGAGAAATGGAGAGATGCTGGTCAAGGGGCACACACACTTTGAGTTGTGAGATGAAGAAAGTTCTGGAATTTGATGCACAACATGAGTGGTCATGATGGATTTTAATTTGAGGATAATGCAGGAATCTACATATTAAATAGTCACAGTACACTTTTGAATGTATCAAATGTTTGTCAGTTTGGTATTTTAAAATAAATAGACAGCTGCTCAGTGACAGTCTGTTTATGTGATTTTTTTTCCTCTGGCTTTGCTTTGCTCTGCCCTGCCCTTCTCCTCCTTTTCTCCTTGTCTTTCCCCTTATATTTTGTGTGTACATGTACTGTGTATATGCTTTTGTGTGTTTGTGTGCAGGTGGCCTTCCATGGACCTGAGGAGGATACTGCATCGACCTCATTTTTTGAGACAGGGTCTCTCACTGAACTTAGAGCTTGCCGTTTAAGTAACGTGACTGGCCAGCCAGTCCCCAGAATCTGTCTGCCTCCCCCCCTCCCAATGCTTGGGTTACAGGCATATGTCATGTCTAGTTTTCTTTTTCCACACTATTGCTAAGGTTTCAAATTTGGGTTCTCTTGCTTAGACAACAAGGACTGTTCCTAGCTGAGCCATCTTCCCAGTCCCTCCACACATTTCAGCACAGCTAACCATGCTGAAGGAAA